TCCCCCAACCACTCCTCAGCGTGCGAGAATCATGGCTCAAAGGAATGAACGTGATAACAGGGTCCTTGATAGTCCTCAGAGGCATCGTCAGCCTCAACATCCTGTTCAGCCTGCTCAATTTCAACAAAATCCTGAGGATGTCTTTGGAGGTGCCCCTGTTCTAAACAGGATTCCAGAGCAGGCTCAGATTCAACCAAGACTTAGTCCAAACACTCTAGCAGGTCACAGAGCACATCTGGCTGATCTTCAGGCGGCTGCCCCTCTGCATGTTTTTGGCTGAACCTCGAATTGAAGCCTTCAATACAGAACAGCGATATGCCTTTGATGCCATCATGGATTCAGTCCTCCATAACAAGGGGAAATTGTTTTTCCTGAATGGTCCGGGAGGAACTGGGAAAACATTTGTTTACAACACACTATGTTATGCCTTGCGAGGGCGGCGTATCATTGTGCTCTGTGTAGCATCATCTGGCATTGCTTCTTTGCTGCTCATCGGAGGCAGAACTTCTCATTCTACATTCAAAATTCCCATTGAGCTGTGGGAGGGAAGGCTCTGCAATATTAGGAAAGGCACAATGCTTGCCGAGCTGCTTTGCCAGGTCAGGCTAATCATCTGGGATGAAGTTCCCATGCAAGACAGACGTGCACAAGAAGCTGTGGATAAGACTATGCAGGATCTTCGGAATAATAACCACCCATATGGTGGAGCCACTTTGGCCTTTGGTGGTGATTTTGACCAGATCCTCCCAGTTGTTGTGAAAGGGGGAAGAGAGCAGGTTGTTGGAATCTGTATGCAGCGCTCCTACCTATGGTCAAAGGTTGAGATACTTCATCTCACTCAGAATATGTGTCTTGGCGGTCCCAATGCACGGCAGGAGGACAGGGACTTCGCCAAATGGCTTCTGGATGTTGGAAGTGGAAGAACTACAGATTGAAGCTGGGAACATTGAATTTCCAGAGGTCATGAAGCTCCCTAGCAACGCTATTCAGGCTATGATAGACACCATCTATCCGGGGATTTCAACCATAGCTTCAGACCATAACCAAGATAAATACTTTCTTGAGCACACAATTCTCTCTGCACGAAATGATGATGTAGATGAGCTCAACTACATGTTGCTGAATAAATTCCAAGGCGAGAAATCTGTTTTCCACAGTGCTGATTCAGTCATCACAGAAGGGGGAGTTGACAGCGACTGTGAATATCCAGTAGAGTATCTCAACTCTATACGAGCATCTGGCCTACCTCTGGCCAAATTGGCTTTGAAGGTTGGGTGCCCAATCATGATTCTCCGAAACCTAGATCCAGCAAATGGTCTCTGCAACGGAACCAGAGGAATTCTCACCAGAATGTCACCTCATGTCCTGGAGATTCGAATCCTAGGTGGTGAACACAATGGTGAAACAGCTTTCATCCCAAAAATTACCATTACTCCATCCACTGAACAAATTGCTGTTGCCATGAAGCGGCGGCAGTTTCCTGTCCAGCTTGCATTCTCGATGACCATAAACAAAGCACAGGGTCAGTCAGTCGACAATGTTGGACTCGACCTCCGCACAGATGTCTTTGCCCATGGCCAACTATATGTTGCACTTTCTCGATGCACTTCAAGTCAGCGAGTGAAGGTTCTTTTCAAGGATGACAACAACAGAATGACAAAAAACATTGTTTATCCAGAGGTGTTGCTTCGCCCGTATGGTTTCCTCCATTCTGAAACAGATTTGTGGTACTGACTTCTGTTACAGGTAGTTTAGTTAGCTGTAGTAGTAGTTGATGGCCAAGTATATGTATAAATTTCTTTTCTCAAAAAAAAACCGCAACTGAGAATTAGCTGCCAATGTGGCGTGCCGAAGGCACGGGTCTAAACTTGTCCTATATAAGAAAAGAGCATGGCACCGCCACACCCAAAAGTCACATGAAAACACTGCCACTAAGTCACATGAAAACACCGCCACTAAATCACATGATAAATCATGTGACCCTCTCGCCCGTTCCCGCCACTGCTGCCGCTCCTCAACAAGGCCTCAAGGCCTCAAGCCAGATTTCATTAATGATAAGCACACTTGCCTCTGCCCCTCACCTTACTCTCTGCTCCCTCCCATTCCAGGTTTGTTGCTCCTTCTCTGCTCTCAATTCCTGTCACCTCTTTAATGATTTCCACAGTTATACCCCTATCTGTCAACTACATTTCATTCAACTTCCCCCACCACTTTTCACTGTGCTTATCTGATCTTCTGTGTGTACCCACAATTGACTCTTCAAATTTGGCCCTACTAATTCCAAATCAGCTGCAGCCTGGCTCTGAATGCAGGTACTTTCTATTTTCTTTGTATCAGTCTAACTTTTGCCGCTCTGAAACAGATTTGTGGTACTGACTTCTGTTACAGGTAGTTTAGGTAGCTGTAGTAGTAGTTGATGGCCAAGTATATGTTACCTTGCTTGACAAGGGATCTGGAACCTCAAAATTGCGTGGGACCCAGCCCACCCGGTTTGATCCTTTCGCCGAATCTTTCCGAGTCCACGTGTACATGAGGACACCCCACACTTGAACATTTTCAGAGACCTCTTGATTCAATATTCTGAATCCAACAAACATCACTCCATTGCGCGAATCTCCTCACATGACCAAAATTTCCAGTACTGCGATTCTGCGAATCCCTTTCAAGTCATAAAAATGCACTCCAGCGCCCAGAAATTATTACATTTGTGTTTAATCTGGGATCTATAACATGTAGGCAGGTCGCAGGTGCCGGAGATTTTAAGTCTTAAGACACTTTTAAAGTTGGCTAGCTGAGTCGAATCCTGCAGACATGAGTAGACACAGACAGTGACAGACTGTTTTACATACAATCATATCCCTCAGCCATTGGAATCTCAAAGATCAAAGTCCTTGGTTGTAACTGCAAGGTGAATGCTCAGTTCGGAGTATTAGTGAGTATACCACCGCGCACATGTAGAATTGTGCGGAGACCCCCGGCAGTCCCTAGGATTAGCAACTCAACGAAGAGCCTCGGTGAGCTCCAAGTGTGTGTTGCCATTTCTCCGAGCTGCCCTCCACCATTAATTCATTAAAATGTTCCGAACAAGCTGGAGCAGAAGAAGGTTGAAGGAGAAATGAAATTTCAATTGCACAATTGTCTCTACTAGCGATATATCACTCCAGTTCAAAGGGGGGGGAAAAAAAGGTTTCGCTGCAAGCAAGGTCTGTGCCGACATAGTCGGCGCCCACACGTATAAATTTCTTTTCTTAAAAAAACCCCGCAACTGAGAATTAGCTGCAAACTTGGCGCGCCGAAGGCACGGGTCTAAACTTGTCCTATATAAGAAAAGAGCTCAGCACCGCCACACCCAAAAGTCACATGGAAACACTGCCACTAAGTCACATGAAATGTCATGTGACCTCTCGCCCTGCTGCCGCTCCTCAAGGCCTCAACACAGATTCATTAATGATAAGGACGCTTTGCCTCTGCCCCTCATCTTACTCTCTGCTCCCTCCCATTCCAGCTTTGTTACTCCCTCTCTCCTCTCAATTCCTGTAACCTCTTTGATGATTTCCAGCTATACCCCTATCTGTCAACTACATTTCATTCACTTTTCACTGTGCTTTTCTGATCTTCTGTGTGTACCCACAATTGACTCTTCAGATTTGGCCCTACTAATTCCAAATCAGCTGCAGCCTGGCTCTGAATGCAGGTGCTTTCTATTTTCTTTGTATCAGTCTAACAACTTTTGCCTCTCTGAAACAGATCTGTGGTACTGACTTCTGTTACAGGTAGTTTAGGTAGCTGTAGTAGTAGTTGATGGCCAAGTATATGTTACCTTGCTTGACAAGGTATCTGGAACCTCAAAATTGTGTGGGACCCAGCCCACCCGGTTTGATCCTTTCACCGAATCTTTCCAAGTCCACGTGTACATGAGGACACCCCGTTTTGAAATCTTCTGATCTCTATACTCGACTTGGACATTTTCAGAGACCTCCTTGATTCAATATTCTGAATCCAACAAACATCACTCCATTGCGCGAATCTCCTCACATGACCAAAATTTCCGGTACTGCGATTCTGCGAATCCCTTTCAAGTCGTAAAAATGCACTCCAGCGCCCAGAAATTATTACATTTGTGTTTAATCTGGGATCTATAACATGTAGGCAGGTCGCAGGTGCCGGAGATTTTAAGTCTTAAGACACTTTTAAAGTCGGCTAGCTGAGTCAAATCCTGCAGACATGAGGAGACACAGACGGTGACAGACCGTTTTATATACAATCATATCCCTCAGCCATTGGAATCTCAAAGATCAAAGTCCTTGGTTGTAACTGCAAGGTGAATGCTCAGTTCGGAGTATTAGTGAGTATACCACCGCACACATGTCGTGCGGAGACCCCCGGCAGTCCCTAGGATTAGCAACTCAACGAAGAGCCTCGGTGAGCTCCAAGTGTGTGTTGCCATTTCTCTGAGCTGCCCTCCACCATTAATTCATTGAAATGTTGCAAACAAGCTGGAGCAGGAGAAGGTTGAAGGAGAAATGAAATTTCAATTGCACAATTGTCTCTACTAGCGATATATCACTCCAGTTCAAAGGGGAAAAAAAAAAAGTTTTGCTGCAAGCAAGGTCTGTGCCGTCATAGTTGGCACCCACACATATAAATTTCTTTTCTTAAAAAAAAACCCCGCAACTGAAAATTAGCTGCAAACGTGGCGCGCCGAAGGCACGGGTCTAAACTTGTCTATACATTAAGAGACGAGGAACACAGCCACTGAAAGTCACCTGATATATCATGTGCACATTCCCACGATCTCGGAATCAGCCGTGTCTGCGGCGAACCGGGAAACTCGGAATCCGCCGGGCGTTGGCGAAACTGAGAGTCCGCCGGGCGTTGCTGATTCTCCGTGACGAAGGCACGGGTCGAATAAACTTGTATCTTATAAAGGATGAGGAGCATGAAAATGCATGTGATTCGAGATGTAGAATACCACTCACGTATTCACAAGGTTCTTCGTCGCCACTATGGTTCAGTGGTTAATCTACCCGTCCCGCTAAAATCAGCGGATGCGGAGATCGGAGGTTCGAATCCTCTTAGTGGCACATTAAGGTCGCCGAGCCCGGGGCACAGCCGGCTGTGCCCCTTGTCACAAGAAGTGAGCGTTCGCGAGAAATTCAGTCGCAGTCTTCCTCTGCCATACTGTCTTTCACCTATGGGGTTTACCCTAGGTCTTTTTAGCTGTTCATCCCTTATTTTTAATAAGCATTGTATAAGCATCACACTGGAGAACGGGCTGCACGGCTTGGAAGAAGTTGAGTCCGTCCGATTATTACGATAAGGTGACCCGGTAGCACGGAGGAGTGACGCCGCTGATCAATCGGACGCTCAGCACCTGGAGAACAAGGTGTGGGGATACGGCTTCGTTAGCGCCTGTCGTTAGGCTCGAGAGCGCCCTTCTTACCCCTTTACCCCACGGGGAATCGATCATTGATGCGATGTTTGATGGACGCCAAAAGCGTTGATTTGAGGCTTGACATTCCTCACACCGACGAACATACAAGAAATAATATATTTGCCTCCGCGATGGTATTTGAGCACCCGTATATCGACCGATGGAAATGGCCTTTCGTGTCCACTATAGTTCAGTGGTAGAACACCTGGTTTGACCTAAAAGTCGGCGCATGGGAACGTCGGAGGTTCGATTCCTTCTGGTGGCACAAGATGGAGCTGGGTTGGGCCGCGAGAAATACACGGGGCGGTCTCCTCCCGCGATGGTGTGTTTCAGGAGGATTCAACTCCTCCTTGTTATTTTTCTTTCCCTCTTGTTTCTTTCGTTGTTACTACAGGACATAAAATTCGCCCAAGCGAAGAAATGAAACTCAATACAGCCCTCGGTCTCTCTCAGACTCGGCACCCTCCACAAATCCTACAAAGGTGATCATCGCGTTAGATAGACAGTGCTGGTAGTAAGTGCGACGATTCTACGCGTAAATCTCGACCCTGGACCAGAGATACTGGAATGCTATTCCTTCTTGCTGTGAACCAGGAGGAAGTACTTTTTCCACCATCGCCTCCCATTCCTTAGACCTCGTCCATCCCCTCATGACAAAGTCATTCCAGAAATACGGATACCACCCTGCGGACTCCCAATCGATGATACCCGTTACATCACCGGTCTGTGTCCACGAAGATGTTGTCGGGAACGAAATCCCCATGCGTAAAGATGTGGGCGCGATCCATGTCGAACGCGTTACGCCACTCTTCTGCTTGTTTCAGAGAGATCCCGTAGTGTCCCTGGTCGAGGAAGCAGCTCACTAGGCTGGCGGTGGTCTTTGCGGGGCACGGCGTGTTCGCAACGCCGAAGTGTCCACCAGTAAACGGGTTAACGTCGTATGGGCCGAGCTGAGTCCTTGCGTTATCTAATGTCGCCATTTGCTTCACAGTATCTGAGAGGTGACCAGTGATCGTGTCGCGCACGTTTTCAGAAAGAGTCGGAAGCGCATCGCGCAGGGAAATACCCGGGATTTTCTCCTGCACGATATATGTGATGGGACAGTTCAAGTCGGAGTTGTCTGTCACCACTGCGTGAATCTTTGGGGCGGGTATGAAGGTTTGGGTCCGAACGAAGATTGGCGTGGCCTTCCTGCGGGTGTACTCTGCATCCGAATTTAGCCAGCACTTCCGGCTCAATTTCGACCACTGTTACTCCCGCGTATTCAGCCATTTCTTTCCAGCTATAAAACGCGATTGGATGGTTTCGAGGTCCATATTCCAGGCAGATGTCAATCTGAGGATGGTGCACACCGGGAGAAGGACGAAGATCCCTATCATCTGTTGGATAAGGTCACGACGCTCCGACGGAATTGAATTGAAGAAATTCTCATTCTGCCTACAATAACGCAGCGCCTCCAGATAACATGCAAGATACATACGCACTCATAACTTACGTCTCTCGCTCTTTCAAGGCACCTTGACGACCACCTTCTCGCCGCTGACCTTGTTATTTCTTAGCAGATCTAACCCCGTCGCGACGCGCTCCTTGAACGTTCCTTGGTCGAGTAGACGGACGCGGTTCGGCTGAATGATCCCCGCGGCCAGCAGCTGCGGGAGGATCTTGGGCATCAAGTTGTCCTTCAAGTACTCGTTCTGCACCAATTTCTCGTAAACACGCCGTCCACGCGGACAACAAGAAGACGACGCACCTGGCGATACGTGAACGTCCGCACATACGCGATTTTCGTCTCAGGTGTGAACGGGTTTCGCCCTTCGGGGAAGGAAAAGTGCATCGCTGCCTCGCCGACGGCGACTGTGTCCCCCTCCTTGATCGGGAGAAGCAGCGCGACGGTGCCCCGCGGGCTGAGCACCTCCGCGACCCGCGCGAGCGTGCCGTCCGCCGTGATTGCGTCGAGCGCAAGCGCGATCTTCTCGCCGCCGGCCGTGATGTCCGCCGCGAGCGTGGGGCTAGCGTAGTCGACGACGCGCGTCGCGCCGAGCGCACGCAGGAAGGCGTGGTGCTTCGGCGACGCGGTCGCGACGATGTTTGTGTACCCCGCGGCGTGGAGCAGCTGCAGAGCGTACTGCCCCGTCGTCGAGCCCGCGCCGTAGATGAGGATCGGCGTCGCGTGATCCGGCGGCGGAGTGGCTGCGGGGAAGCTGCCCGGCGCGGGGAGCGAGAACTGCTCGAATAGCGTGTAGAAGGCCGTGATGAAATTGTCCGGGATCGTAGCGGCGGCGTCTAGTGCAAGGCTGTCGGGGACCTGCGAATGATATTTGAGGTTAGTATACGTAGAACATTGGCAAGCCAGCACAAGCCACCTTCGCACAGAGGTGGTCCGGCAGCACGACGTACTCCTGCATCGTCCCCTTGAGTCCGTCCTTGCGCCCCTGGCCGAACACGCTGAACGCCGTAACCTATAAAGTAAGGAGTCAGTCCAATAAACGCGCAGCGGTTACACATATTCACGCACCCGATCCCCGACCGCGAGCGCCGTGACGCCCTCGCCCACCTCCGCGACCGTTCCCGCGGCATTGAACCCCAGCGTAATCGGGTACTCCGCGACAGCATACCCCACGTCCGTGATATACGTGTCGAACGCGATCATCGACGCGTACTCAACCTTCAGCAAGACGTGCCCCGCGCCCGGCTTCTCGGTCTCGACCTGTATAGCATCGAATTGGCCCTTCGCAAGAGAAGCGATCGCGGTGTGTGTCGGCATTATGCTAGGAGTGCGACTTTTCACGAGAAAGCGCTTTCCAGTGTCGATTTTCGCTCTGGAACGCATCCGTATTTAAGCCGCAGTCCTGGGTTTAGCCTGTTTCTGAATCTGAAGGATTTGGAAGATTTGGTGCTGTCCAGTAAGGCTGAATAAGCTTTCCGCAAGGCTTACCCAAGCATGAGTGGGCATGAATAAGCAGCGGAAAGACGGATAATGAAATAAGAAGGCGCTTGGAGGGCGCCATTGAATTGTGGGCATTCTAACACGGTGGTGTTGAAGGAAAGTCAAGCGTCCGAACTTCCGAATCACACAAGCGTCCGATTCATTTTTTTTTTTTTCGCATTTCAAAAAAGGATGTACAAAACGACGAGGAATAAAACACTAAAGAGATAAGAAAGAAAGAAAAGGTTACTCAGTCTCCATCGGCGGGGACTCTCTAGAATCATCAGCAGCGTCGTCGGCGTCGCTATCGCCCTCCTCCTCGCTCTCCTCTTCCTCGTCGTCATCATCTTCGTCTTCGCTCTCGCTCTCATTGAAGGTCAGTGAAATAAACTCATCTCCCAGCTGGGCGTCTTCAGCCGAAACAGGAGGAGGAGCACTGGAGTCAGTAACACCAGAGAGAGAAGGAGCCGTCGGAGTCGGAGTCGGTGCCGGGGCCGCTGCGGCCGGCGCAGCGGGAGCAGCAGCAGGGGCCTTCCGGTTGCGGCTCGCGCGGATGACGTGCGGGAGCTTGCAGCCCTTGGTCGCGCACGCGCCGCGCTCCGCAAAGTCGGGGCACTCGCGCACGTGTTGCTTGTCGCAGTCCAGCCCGCGCGCACAGTAGCCGAGCACCGCAAAGTCGCGGCAGACGCCCGAGCGCGCGCCAACGTTCACGTGCGGGAACGGGCAGCGCTCGCGCGTGCAGCGGCCCTTGTTGAGGAAGTGCAGACAGAGCGGCGTGCGTTCCGGTGTCGGGTCGTGCGAGAGGTTGCACGTCTCGGCGTTGTTGGGGCAGTTGCCTTGCAGAAAGTTCCAGCAGATGGCGATCTTGGCGGGGTCGTGTTGATACAGGCAGGTGAGGCCGCGGCTGCAGGTACCTAGAGAAACAAAAGGGGGGGAAAAAGAGTGAACGCGATTCACCAGTGTACGCTCAGGAATGGATCGGTTGGCGAGGGCGGGCGGCGCACCTGTCGTAGTAAAGCGGGGGCACGGCTTGTCGGAATATTTGAGACGCTTGGTGGCGAGCCGGCGAGATCTGGTGACGTAAATTAGAGGGAATCCTAAGCTTGCCTCCACTGGCGAGACGGACTGATATGGTCGCCGGCTGTTGGTCAGCGTCATGTTAACAGGGCCACCACGGCGGCCGCGAGACGATTTGGGCTTGTATACACGAGCGCCAGGGTTTGCCAAGAAATGGGGCCGGGGTCGAGGAGCTTGTGGCGCGGTCGGTTTCGGTACAGAGGTCGAGGGTGGCTTCGGCACTAGAAATACATCAGTAAGAGAAGGGAAAGGGAGCCAGTTGACGCACAATCTTTCCGGACAAGAGAACGGTTTGACGATTCGAAAGCTACGCCATTGAGAACGACCTCCTTGACTTGTGTTGTGGGCGCGGGTCTGGACGGAGGCTTGGATGTTGAGGGTCGGATGTAATTGTTGGTGGGTGGCCTGTAGTTTGGGTTGACGTAGGTGCTGCTCCGGGGAGGTTGGTATGTCGTTCGAGTAGAGTTTGCTGATTTGTGCTGGCTGATAGTGGCTGAAACGAGAGAATGAGGATTCGACACATGGACTTGGAGGAACATACCGGTCAGTCTTGCGATTTCGCTTTTTATTTGTGCTTCGGTGGCCATGGCGAGGGGGAGGAGATGGGGGCTGGAGTCAAGGAACGTAATGCTTGGTCAGCACAGTGACAGGATCAACAAGCGTCACGGTCAACTCAGCACTACTCAATCTCAGAAAACTTGTGCTCTCGGACGTTCTGGTACCCTCTTCTCGTCGGCAGCGTCTTGCTCCATTGGCCCACTTCTTCCCTCCAAAATTTGCGCCCCAATTTCTGGCTTCATTCAGCTTCAAGTTTCTCCTCAATCTTTTGTTGAATCCTGACTTACGCTGCTCGTGGACTTGCTATACATGGATTCCAGTTGACAGAGAGCCTTCTACCCGATATTCTCCCCCGTGAGGAGGCGTCAGAAGCCGCAAACGTTCCGTGGGGCACGAATTCGTGCCCCACGCTGCGTGTGCGGCTTACATTCACCTTGACGAGATATTAGATGGTGTGGCTTGCTAGGGTGATCACGATCGCGGGGAGGACGGCCATTCACCTTCCCGGTCTGCCTGCTAGCGATGTTTCCAAGTCCCATATGCACACTGGGTCGCGCCCATCTACTATACCGCCATCATCATTCGTCAAGACGTGCGAGGCCTCACACGAGCACTCAGTCCTCCCCCTGCGCGCACTGATCCTATGGTACCCAGGATAGCGCATTTTTGTCCTTGTGTCAGCCTGGCATCAACGCATGCCTATA